CATGGCTAAGCTTGGAGGGGGAGTCATTCCGCAGAGTGGGATGAGAGCTGCTGAAAATAAAGCTGCTTTCTAATCTAGCAAGGCTTGCTATCTGCATCACTTGTGTTATGTGATGCACTTTCTAGATTTAAATAAAAATGTAAATGATGACTGACTCTGGAGGGCAGAGGGTGTTTTTCACAGGGGAGGAAGCCTGGACTAAGGACTGAAGTGTGAGTCAGGATATAGAACTCCTGCACTGCTTCTGTCTGATGCTGCCAGTTCGTGCGACCTCAGGCAGGCCATCTTTCTGCTTGTGCCCCTCTTTCTGCCCAGATATTGCTGTGCCGTGGTGCTCTTTGCAGCAGAGGATGCATTGTGGGAAGTAAATCCCTGTAGAACAATGAGAGTGCAGCAGCCCATGGCAGCTGCATAGACCAGCAGTACAATGTGGGCAGCTGACCACCTACAGCGATGGCTGTTGTCAGTCGCTGGTCAGAGTGGCTACAGAGGGGAAAGGGTTGCCTGTGAGTCAGGAAGCAGGTTATGAGTGAGCTCCTCAGCTCTGACAGTCCTTTCAAAACAAACCAGCATTTGGGAATTGACCAGGATATGCTATTCGGAGTCTTCAAACTACTGTGGGAAAGCAGACTTTGCATGTGTCTTGCGTAGCAGTGTTCTACTGTGGTGTCTAGGATTTTTCGACCTTCTCAATTCTTGACTGAGCTCTTAATGCGAGGTCTGTTCACTTGGTGTTCTCCTGTTCTGCATATGTTGGTTTGTGTTTAAGCTTGTCACTGATTTCTGTGCATCAGTCTACTCCAATCAATATGAGCCTTTCTTTGCCTTTCATCCATATCAGATTGAGCAGCCTCATGACAACATGCCCATTTTTTAAAGTGGGGAAAAAAAAAATCACTTTTTTTTTTTTTCTGTATTTACTCCATAAGTGAAAAACTTTCTGTAGTGCATCACTGCCATCCTGGGATGCTCTGACTTCATCGTTGGTGAAAGAAGCATCTCTGCCTTCTGTAGGCATCTGAATTTGATGGGAACCTGCAGCCATCAGACAGCATCGCACAGACCACTGAGTGCCCCTTCTTGAGCTGTGCTCAAGCAGGACAGCACAGTAACAGTGAAAGGAGTTCACTGCACAACAGTGCAGGTCTGTCCTGCAAGAACTTTGGCTCTTGTAAGGAAGAACACTTCTCTCTTCCTCAAGGCTAAAATAAAACCAGACTTAAAACAAATAGTTACAGACTTGACCACAGCTCCACAGCTCCACAGCCAGTGCACTTCTCACTCATCTAGCAGGATGAGCATTTCAGTCCTGGTTATTTTGAGTAAAACCAAGAAAATAAGAGGTTACTGGGGCACAAAGCAACACCCCTTGACAGCTGACATTTCTCTGTTGTGCTTCACTCAGTCTTGCCCTTCATCATCGTGAACACCGTGCTAGCTTAGCAACCTTTCAGTGCACAGCATCCGCTCTGGCTCACAGCAAGGGAGCTGCCTACAGCCCACCTTTGCTTTGGGGTGCCTGGCATGCTGGAGTAAGTCACCTGTGTTTGGCTGATTTGATTTGCTCCTAACGAGCAGGTGAGTGTTTATGTTTTCTCCTATTGCACAATAATTCTGCTGTGAAGGTAGGCTGCCTTGCCTTGTGTTTCATAGCAGCTGCATCTTAACAAGGTTGCTGGAGGAGCCTTGCTCCTTCAACATTGCCTCAAACGGTAATGTGCTGCCCTCTTTCACCCCTTTTGTCACTCCTCCTGCCAGCTAGCTCTTCTAGAGCTGAGCTGTGTGCTGAGAGAAAACAGTAATTGTCTATATTTGTTTGCTGTGTTTCTTACCAGGGGATCCCAAAAGCCTTGTATATGCAGACAAGTTTTTTACCTCCTCCTTGAAGCGTAGCACCCTGCTGCCTGCAATGTGGCTGCTGCTTAAAAGAGCACTTCAGCTGCATGCACTGGAATTCAGGAGAGATACAGAAAGGCATTTGAGGAGCTCTAGACAAGGACCTGCCTTTGGAACTGGGCTAAAAACTGGGGCTGATACCCAAGTTCCCCAAAGAGCACCATGGCAGCTTAGTGATCCAGAATAGCCAGATACTTCTTCCTTACAGCCAGTAAGGATGCTTCTTCCCTGTGGGTTTTAGAGACACCTGGAAAATCATTATAATTTCCTGCAGCTCCCTTAAGGTGTCTGTGCAGAAGTCAGGTTGGAGGTCTCTGCTCCGAGACAGCCACTCTCTCAGGTGTACTGGAGCTGTTCAGTTCCCAGTTCTGGGTAGCTGGAGCACAGGCTCATTTAAACAAGCTTTCCTTTGTGTTTAAGCCAGGGATGAGAAAAAGCTGTGTTGTTATCTGCTAGGATTTGCAGACTGAATCCCTGTCTTGGTGGTGGGTCTCTGTTTTGTGTACAACCTACTTAAAGAAGTGTGGGGTCTCCAGTAGGCGTTGGAGGCCAGAGCTGATGTCTGGCTCTGTAATTGCTGTTGACCTTTCTTTGCTTTCATAACCACTGGCAGCCTTCAGGAATAGCGGCCCCTCGGCGTAGTACTGCATGTTTTGCAGTGATGACATCACCTGCTTCAGCTCGCTCTCTCCAGAAAACCCAGGGGCTCCAGGACTACCTGCAGAGTTAATGCTCTTTGGGTGTTTCCTAGTGCCAGAGACAAGAGGAGAAAATGTAATCAGTTTTTACTGTATAGGCACTTTCAGACATTCCCTTCTCAAGGTGATAACATAGGCCCAGAGCCTATCCCAGTGCAAATCAAGTAAATCCCATTTCCCAGCTGAAGAACATTTAATATCTTCTGCATCCTTAGCTGCCCTGCTGTTCCTGTGACCTAAGGAAGCATCTGGATTGTCCCAGCCCTGCTCCTCTGTGACCCTTTACCAGCCCCAGAGGCTACCTCGGTGAGGTCCAGGGGGGCACTTTCCTTGCAGCGTACATCCTTGCAGGGGGCACTTTCTCCAATTTCAGACCTTTTCTGTTCCTCTGTCCCAGCTCCGTACACAGGCGCTGCTCGGTGCAGTGAGGGAAGCTGCTCTCCCACTGCTCGCTCTCCTCCTAGATTGCTTTGAGTACATCTGGAGCTGCTGTGCCACTTCTTTTAAGCCTTCCTTTCTCTTTTTCTCTCCCCTTTTTCTCTTTTTTTTTTTCTCCTGCATCACCAGCTGGCCTTGATTATAATGTGAGACCCCACCGGCTTCAATTAAGGAGCAGATGTGACCCAAGAAATGGGATAGCAGCTAGGGATGGAGATGACACATCCATGGCACTAGGTCTAATCAAACAACTTCTCACATTATTCTCGCTGTGAGGTGGGAGACGTGTGAGCCAAAGGCAAGTCAGCACTTGGAGCACCCGCAGAGACACGTTGCGAGCAAAGCCATCTGTAATGAGCTGACCATGCCACTCAGCACGGCAACGTGAGCTCAATCAAGGGCTGCTTTTAATCCACTTAAGTGCAGCAAAGGGCCCAGAGGCTAAGAGTTGAGAACAGGTACCTGGAAAACACTGTCAAACAAGGGCTGCCAGGTGGAGGGGATACTCATACGCTGTGTACACACAGATGCATCTGTGTCCCTGGGAGAGGGGACACTGTGCATGCAAGACTTTTGGGGCAGTATATGCACCACCTTCATCTGTGGTGAAGATGGAGATGTCACTAGTGTTATGGAGCTGTAGGTGAGTCTTGCTTGGGTCAGGCTATGGGAGGGGAGACACTGGTGTGCTGGAGCCCTCCAGGCACGTCTGTGTTCAGGGTGGCAGGGATGCTGTGTGACCTGTGGTTCTTGGTGGAGCTGTGTCTGTGGCGCTGCAGATGCTGTGTGTTGCGGGTTTTAGGGCCTGGCTGTGCTTGGCAGCTTTGTGCACCTTTAGAGGAGGCAGGTGCTTTGTAGATCTGTAGTGCATAGACATCTGTGGAAGAGCAGGTGCTTGAACCTGGAGAAGGTTAGCTGTGATTGTGCTGGAGCTGCTATAAATCTGTTTTCCCTCTTTTACATTCAGGCTAACAGCTGGTTTGTGTTCAGGAAGCCTTTCTCATTTTAGAAGGAGAGCTCCTGGTTATTCCCATGCTGGAGTGTTTTAATTAAGAGTTTATTGCAAGTGTAAGATGTCCATCAGATGGCTGTGGAGACTGAAGTCCTCTGACATTGCATTAAATAAGGGGTAACCCAAGCAATACCAATCCAGACTTTCTCCTTGCTCTGCCTCAACCATGCCCAAATCATGAGGGTCCTGTATATTTTTACAAGTGCTAAAGAACAAGACTTGGTTGCCTCCCTTTGCTAAGGAGGTGGTCACACATCACCATTCTCACACTACTGGCAGAGAAGCTGACACAGAGAGATGTCACTTGGCTCTCAATGTCGGGGAATTGTTGCCAGAGATAAAAATAGGACCCAGAGTCCCTGTAGCCAGTCCCTAATGTGTTATATTGATGTATTTGGGAGAGGCGCTTTAACACCCTTACAGGTTTGTGCTCTGTGGGGACAGCCAGTGCGTATCCCTCCATCTGAACATGGTGTCCCTCATAAACCTGTCAGACCTTGACCAGAAGAACGTGAACGTAACTGCTTAGGAGCATACCTGCCTGCTCTGGGAGTGCAGTTTATGCTGGGTACGAGGACTATGGTTGTTCTGATGAGGATCTGAGGACTGAATCCAACCTGTGGCCCTCAGCTGCTGGAGTTGTACTTCTCACGTGAAAGAGCAGGGCTTGGTAGCTCCTCCAAGCAGTGTCTCACCGTGGGATGAGTGCTTGCTAAAGGCCACCCCTACCTAATAAATGGGAGGGAGGTGGGAGGTAGCCACAGCCCAGTCAGAAGGGGATGTCAGATGACTATTGCTGCTTTTGGTTTGATGAAGCCTAGTTCGCACCAGAAAATAAATATCCTCTTGGAAATCATAGGTGCTTGTCTCCTCAGAGGCACCACCAGGGTGACCGTGCTGAGCGAGACGGCTGTTCCCTGACAGCGTCCCTGTCTGTTGCTCTGTTTGGTCTCCAGTCCCCCCCGTGGTGGAGCCGGCCTTCCAGGACATGCGCCAGGGCATGGGGCGCAGCGTCACCCTGCGCTGCACCATGCTGAAGGGCAGCCCCATGAAGGTGGCCACCTCCGTCTGGCGCTTCAACGGGACCCTTCTGGCGCAGCCCCTGGCAGAGCAGCAGGACTACTCGGAGCTGAAGGTGGACAGCGTGAGCCGGGAGACCAGCGGTAGCTATGAGTGCAGCATTTCCAATGACGTGGGGGTCTCCACCTGCCTCTTCCAGGTGTCTGGTAAGTCACAGGGCACACATTGGAGCGAGCTGTTGGATGCGGTCACGGAGGTGGGAAGCTTGCTCCCAATAAACTGGGGCCAGTACAAGCAACCTCTGCTGCCTCCTCTGTGCACGGCACTGTGTTCACAAGGGATGGCTTTCCATAAGCCAACAGGGAGATCTGCCTCCATCATTCAGGCAGTCCTGGGATGGACCTGGGGCAGTTGGTGCCAGCCACTGGTACATTTTAGCTGTGTTTGCTTGCCTGAAAGGTACAGGACTTAAGACTGCCTTCAGCTTTCAAGCTTGGACAACCTGTATCATAGATAAGTATTGACCAAGGGAGAGTGAAAGGCCCCAACAGGCTCCAAAACATCTGATTTCTCCTTTAAAAACAAACTGTATTACGTGTTTCTGTACCTTCCCTGTGTCTCCTGTCTGTCTGTGTCTCACGATGCCTGCTAGGACAAACATGAGCTGGGAATGGGTACTGGTACTCAGTGGAATTGCTGCTCACAGTTTTCTGTGAATCCAGCAGGCACCATAACAGGATTCCTCTTCAGCACCTGCAACTGCAAAGAGGGATGGCAGAGTTATAGCATTTAAAACCACACATCTGACCTAGCCTTTCCAGCTGATCATTAAATCTGCTTTTCCCATGACCCCAGATTTGACTTGGGCACCAGTTTCTCGACAAGGTCTCCAATGAAGTTGCCTTAGTAAGCAATAAATTCAGCCAAAATACTGGGTTTTCAGTCCAGGGCCAATTTATAATACTTTTCAAGTCAGGGCTGAACAAATGAGAATAAATAACATCCAAAGAGGCCTGATTTTGAAGCAAATCTTTCCTAGGGTTTGGAAAAGCTCAGGTATGCTGTAACTCTGAGATGCTCTCAGAAACGGGGAAGCCCAGACTACTTCTAGTGTTTGGGCCTCTTTTCAGGACCTTGCTCTCACCCCTTGAGATTTCCTGGAATTTGTCTGGCAGTGGATTTTGCTTGAGAGCTTTGGCCCTCTCTACCCTTTCTTCATATGCTTGCAACTTTCATGTCATTAAGTGATGGCAAATCATATCCCACTCTGAGCCACCAGAGCAAACTGTGTCCCTAGCAAGCTTGGGAATGCTCCCAGGATCTGAATTTCTTGCTGGAAGTAGTAACAAATACATTTTACCACCTGGTGTGCCATGCTGTGCCCCACAAGAGAAGATCCCCCTCAGCAAAAAGCAGCGTTCATCCCTAGAGAGCACTCATCAGGAAAGCAGCAAGCATTTATTTTCCTGCATCCCTTCTCGGTTTCCAAGGCATTGATATCTGATGGTGGCTTTTTAGCTCCAGACTTCTCTGCCTGTGTCCTGGACAGTTACAAAGCAATTAGACCTTCTGAGCCTGTAGAGCAACCTGACAAATAATCCAGTGGCTAGGCTGTTGTGCTTGGGCTCAGGACCACTGGAGTTTTAATTCCCATCAGCCACAGCCATCCTGTGGGAGCAGGGGGGGGTGGCATAGTCTGTTTCTGGTCCTTCTCTGTGAAAGAAGGACCATAAACTTTCCTATCTGACAGGGAGGTAGTGACTCATTTGTGACTGTGAGGTGTTCAGATGTACTGGAAACAGAGTTCATAAATCTGCCCAGGATGGGATTAGTTTCTTCTATGGATGTGAGATTAGCATTCTGAGGTGTTTGGGAAGGATAGCGAGACATCCAACCCACTCCCCTTGAGCAGGTTATCAGGGCAGCCCATACTGGTCGCCACCTGCACTCCCACTAGCCCCAAGCACAGAAAAGCTGTGAAAGATGGAGTGAATAACCTTCAACTCTTCCTGTCAGCTGTAAGCAAAAGACAAAACTTTCCAGCAATGGTAAAAGTTTCCAGAAAGGAAGTTCCAAAAGTATCTTGATGTGCTGCATTTCTGTTAGAAGGTTTGTTGGGTTTTTTTTAGCTTCCGTTTCCATCTTGGAGTCAATTAATAAGGAATTAATATCATGCAGGATGATGATTATCATCAGTTCTGATTTTATTTCGGAATCCATTACAAAGCTTGACTTCCACAGTCAATACAAGTTGAATAAGCAGCAATTAGTCTCTGAGGTGGTTCTGAACTTCTTGCTTGTGCAAAAATTCAAGTCAATAAAAATAATAAGAAAAAAAGGACTTGGAAATAAACATCAATATTATCCATCTGAGTTCATAAAAAATAAGCATTGAATCCTTTTGAGCCTAATTATAACGACATAGAATGGCAGGGCCTGTGATTCAAGTGGAAAGGTGCAACAAACTGCCTGGTGGAGACAGTGTTTATGCCAGTTCTGCTCTCCGGCATCCCTTGCTGCCCAAGCTTCTTTCTGGTCTGTGCAGGTCCAGATTGGACCTGAACCCAGAAAGGAGCGTTTTTGTTCAGGTCCAGTTCCTGCCTAGCCCAGGACAGGACCTGCCAAAAACTGAAGTGCACAGGGTGAAATGAAGGTAATTTCAAATAGGGCAAAACCACATGTGGTTAAGGGCTCAAGTTGCTTCTGGGCCCTGTGCGTTAGTCCACCAGTTTCTGGGCTGCATGGCAGTAGCCTTCGAATTCTGTTTGGTAGTGGTTCAGGACAGCAGCGGCTGGGGAAATGACAGGAAATCCCTTCTTCTTTGAATCATCCAGTTTCTCTCTGGTATATCGTTTCTCCTGTCTTTTCCTTCCTCCTGCTGCCCTCTGTTTTTTAAGGGGAGACGTGGGTTTAGAAAAAGATATCTCCACCCATGCAAAAGCTCCCGCTGTTTTTACTCAGGCTGAGGTCAGCATCCTCTTTGCTGCCGAGTTGACTGTCGTGTTACAAAGAGCCTGGGGCACTGTGTTGCCGAGGCAGGGGAGATGCAGAGGGAGCAAGGTCTCCTTTTTAATGCCATGGTCCCTGTGTGATAAATAACACTTTTCCTGTGACCTACTGGCCAAATGATCTCTCCTCAGGGTTTGTTAGCAGGAGACTCTGTAAAGCAGCAGATGAAACAGGAGAAATGCCAGTTTAAAGCTGTTACCTCAATCTTAACTACAAAGTAAGAGAGAAAAGATTAGAGCTGGTTCCAGCTGAAGAACTGAAGTTGTTCCCGCCTTCTTTGGTGTCGGTCATGCCCCACTGGTACTGCAGGGCTGCTAACCCTCCCAGTAGTTCAGCTGTGAAAGCAGTAGTGATTCACAGAGAACGATAGCACAACAGTGCAACACCAGCTACAATAGTAAAGGTGTCCATCATGTCAAAGGCAAGTGGATGAGCTGGGCAAGTGGAGCTGTTGCACTCTCACCACATCTCTTTGTAATTTATGTTCCCCTTGATCCCCCTCTTTTACTTTCCTTCCTCTTTTTTTTTTTTTTCTCCACTCCAGCCAAAGCTTACAGCCCAGAGTTTTACTATGACACTCCCAACCCCACCTTGAGCCAGAAGCAATCCAAGAATTACTCTTACGTCTTGCAGTGGACACAGAAGGAGCCCGATGCTGTGGATCCCATCCTGAAGTACCGACTGGAAGTCCGGCAGGTAAGGTCTGCTCTTCTGGAGCCTTAGCACGTGCCCTTGGGAAGAGGAACCTCTCAGAGGGCAGTTACATTGATGTCTCCTTGCCGATTAAGAGCTGAAGGTGGTGAAATTGCCACATCCAGATGGTCTTGCACCTTCCCCACCGAATGGAAGAGACAGGCCAAGTGCACAGCTCAGCATTCGTTTTTACGTCTGGTGTTGGGTATGATCGAGAGCTTTCAAAGCCCTGCTGCCTCCCATCGGACTGCTCATGCTCAGTGTTTTGAATGGGGTTTTAATGTGAACAAAACGCCACAGTCATTAGTAGGTATTGTAGATTTTACAGGCCAAAGATTCAAGCGAGTGGAATTCCATCCTCCTCACTCATATGAAATAAAGGGAATAAGCTGAAGAGCTCTCCAGGCAGGAACTGCAGGAAAAAGTCATCGACTGTTTGTGTTGCAGAAGGGCTTTCATACTGTCACAGTAATGAAGCTATTTGGACTGTATAAACTCTGCAGGGGAAGAGAAGTGGGTTTCAAGGTTTCTGAGTCTAAAGAGAAATCATATCAGAGGGTGGAGGGGGAGAACTGAGGGAAATCTGAAGAGATCACTTGTTGGAGAAGGTTAGGGAAAAGAGTCTGATGTTTTTAAAGAGCACGTTAACCTAGTAGGATTACTTTGATCCACAGTCAGCAAAGCTCTCACGTTCAACATTTTTTCAAAATATGGACACTTAACATTGGTGGTTCTTGCCATTCAGTGATAGCTTGGAAGCAAATGCATTTTGCAAGGAAAAGTTTGTTTACTGTAGACAGAAAACAAAATAATTAAAAAGATCCAAATGTCTCTTTTGTCTAGTTCTGCACAGTAGGCTCCAGTTTTATGTCTCTGATTGTGAGCTCTCTGGGGTGGGACAGCCTTTGTTTGTTACTCGAACCATGCGGAGCACATTGTCAGTGCTTAATAATAATACAGGACACAGGGGAGCCTCTAATAATGAAGGCAGTTTGTCATAGTACCCCTTCCCTCTTGGCTGAGTTTTGCTATTATCAGCAGTGCAATTCAATGAACTAATTTGTGATTTTTATCCTTCTCCAGTGATGTTGAGGGTTTTTCCTTTTGTACAGTGCCTAAAAGTAATCTTGGATCTGTTCCTCATTGAGCTCCTACTGAAAGGGATCAAGAAAAGGGAAAATCACATTTCTGCTTTAAGTTATGACATGAAGGAGGCTGAGTGCCCATGTGAATTTAACCCTCCCTGGTTTTGTTCATATCCCATCGGTTACTGCTGTTAATGTTTCTTTTGCAGCATTACTACATAGCTGTGACTATTCAGTGGTGTGTTTTAGAGGAGTGTTGTATCGCAGCCCTGCTGTAGCCCAGTCTCACGTATGGGCAGTGTCTTAGAAATGGCTACAGGTGCCACTGTGGTGGTGTCTGAATAAGGGAGGGCAGAGAGAGGAGGAAGCAGAGAAGTTGTGTTCCCTCTTCTGTCAAGTACAAGCAGGAAACACTCTGGAAAAGGCTTTCATGTAATTGCCTCCTCCTGGCCCTCCTCTGATAAAGACACTTGCATTTCATGGTGAGGTCTCCGCCCCCATGTGCCATATACTGAGGTCTCACAGAGCCCTTTTCCTTTCCTTTCCTTGTCCCAGAGGAGCCTTGTGACCCGTCCCGCCCTTTCACTCTGTCCCTTGCGCCGTCACCCTCGTCCACATCCCGCAGGCTTTGCTGCTTCGTTGCACCTTCTTCTCTGTGCTGCGCTGAGCTTCGTGTCCTGCTGTTCCATCATTGGACTGCAGAACACGGTGACATTACTGAATACAACCCTGAAAAGCTTAAAAGCTTAAAAACATTGCTGGCTGGAGAGCTTTTAAGAAAGGGGATTTGTCTGCCTGAATGAGGAGCCACTGTTTGCCTGTGCGCCCTCCTCACTGGATACGCTGGCTTCCAGGCACTGGCCATGGTGGCACAGAAATCCTCCTAGAGAGCTAGGATTGCAGTGGAAGTATTCTCCTCAGATGAAAACAGGCCTTACACGCAGCCAGTCACGACTGATTTATTGCCAGCATCAAGCTGATGAAAGCTTACCCAGCCAGCCAACTCACCTTCTCCTCCAGCTCTGGGAGCTCCTCAGCCTCAGTGGTTGGTGGCAGGTGCTCTTCAGCACCTTAAGGATGAACAGGCAGGAGCAGCATGCACTCTCAGGGTGGTGAGGGGTTGTCTAGAAGACATTAACTCTTGATGAGCTGGAATCCAAAGGGCAACCAGCTGGGATGCCCATTGGTTGTAAAATGTTTTGCTGCTCTCCACAGTTTGCTTGGAGAGCTCTTGGCATATGTAGTATGAAGATCCCTAAGTAGCAGGATGCTTTGCAAGGCACCTGGGAACCCTTGAATTAAATTTGCTTGCTGCAGCTGCTGAAAATGGGGTTGGGTGAGAGTCAAAGTGCTGTTTATTAATTGGCTGGTGCTGTGGCTCCTCCAACTCTTCCTGTTCAACAGCTTCTGATATTCCTGGGGGGATTGCAAGCAGTCTGGGGGGAATTTGGTTTCCTAAGCAATGCATGGGGGCTCCCAGCAAGATGAGCAGGTGCATTTCCACAGGAGCTGATTGTTCCCAGTGCTGAGGAGCAGGCTAGCAGCACAGCAGATGTACCAGTTCCAGGAGAATAAGAATTAACCTTCGATTAAAACCAAATAAACAGCCTGACAGCTTGGAGCCACTGACCCAGGCAAAGCACATACGATAGCAATGTGGAGCAAGCTTCTCGTAAAGCCTCTGTTTTATGTCTTGACAAATAGGCTGTTGTTTCCTGAAGTGCATCGGTCAGGTGGGCTAGGCAGTGGCTTTGTGTTGAGTGGCAATTCAGAGGGGAAAACATCCCCACTGAGGAACTGCAGGGGCCTCACAGACACCTGTCCTTGGTGGCTTGGGAGGTTTGTCCTTTCTTGCTCCGAGACAACTGATATAAATGCCGACCACCTTACTTCACCTTAGCCAGTGAACTTAATGAGTTCACAGCCTTGGGTGGTTTGGTTGTGGGCAGATGCCATGAGGCTTTTGGGGTATTTGTTTGCTCATCTTTTTTCCTTCCATGTGTTCTTGCAGCATAGAAAGGCACTGAGGCATTGCGCTCCAACTGAAAATGTTTTTCATTGCTTGGGGATTCAAAGAAGCCTCCCCAAACCAGATCTTTGCTTAAAAAATAAAAAGCCTTTTAAGTTGCTTGTTTCTCTCTGTGTATTTTATCCCCTCCCAGAGCTCTCCTCTAACATTAAAGAGAAAAGAAAAGCCATCTAATATTGCAAGCAGGTTGCATCCTGGAGGAAAGATCTGAGCTGGCCTGGTGGTTACGGTTACAGGGGATAGTGGCAGAATTACTGTGCACTTAATGAGCTGGAACCCATCTGTGACCTGAGGCTGCAGGAGAAAGAGGAAGGAGAAGGTATTGGTGCAGTAGGGAAGTTTAATCTTCGTTGTGCCCCTCAAGGAGACCTGAGGCTGCTGTCTCCTCCATACCTTCTGATACACAGGCTCGGGCCAGAACAGGGCCAGTTTAACACATTCCTGCCTTTTCCCTCCTCGGAGCAGGCTCAGCTCTACCTGCCAGACAGACCCCTGTAATTTGCACCGGGCCAAGCCCCAGACCCATTTGCTAAATTAGCTCACTGGGTTGTCACTTCAGATTAATTCCTGTCGGGGAGACCGTCTTTAATGAGAGTGGCCCTGTGCAATGCCTGAGTAATTGTATGGTCTCTCTGTTTGTACTTTCATACCCTCCATGTTGGATAAACATCCCCTGCTGTCTACAAAACTCATCTGGGTTCCGGAGCTGGCTGCCGCTTGCCTCATCAGCCAGTCAGAGCAGCATTAATGAGAGCTGCAGCAGTGGGGAGCCGGGCTCACCGTGTGGGGAGGTGACAAATAACAGAGCAGTGTGGACAGACATAGGACAGGGGCGTTAGCAGGAATTTAATGATTGTGATTAGAGTGGAAGGTTAGCTCCACTGATGGCCAGCGCAGCGCAGCGGGAGAAGTTTTATGCTGAGGCCCATGGGCTGCAGATCTGTATCACTTCCTTTCTACCTCTGAGTTGTTCTTTTGCTCTCCTCTGAGCCCGCTTCAGCAGCGTCTGTCAACTGATGCCTGTCTTTGGCTTCATTGCTGCGCAGAGCTGGATGCTGCTCCAAGGACACGCAAACCCAGGCAGGGACATCTCTCACTCGCTCCCTTCACACCAAGCAGGGGTGGTACTACTCGAAAGGGAGGATGAGCAAGCAGTACGCCAGCCCATAGTCTTTTACATAAGTGTTTAGTTGAGAACACTGTTAACTCGCACCACTGCGCTTCCCCTATTCGTGCAACACCATGGCTTGATGAACTCATGTGTGTGGCCCTTGGCCCATGAAGAACCCAGCCTAGTGAAGTTGGATGCATCTTCCAATGCTCGTAAGCAACCCTGTGATAACATAAACAGTTAGTTTGGGCAATCAGGGTAGAACAAACTTCCAGAGCAAGCTAATCCACCCAGCCCTGCACTCATCAGGAGTGAGAACATTCATGCCAAAAGCTTGTCTCCTCCCATCTTCAGCAGTAGGCAGTGCCTGGAGAAGAGTATAAAAAAGACACATGCACAGTATTGCTTTCTCTGCCTCTAAATATTTTAAGCCCACTTGTTTATTGGGCCCCAGGTTAGGAAGGGCTGTGAATACAGAAAGGCAGTGTTCCCGAGCAGGTCATGGTGTACCTGAGTGGGTGGTGGCCCTTGTCACAGCCCAGCTCTGTGCTCTGGGAAATGAACAAAATCCCTTTTCTTTTGCAGATGCAGCTTTGGCTTCAGGCAAAGCTTCTCAGGAAACTGAGCAGCCAGTGTCTTAGGGGGTGGCCTGAGGGCTGCACATCGGGGCCGGGGGCATCCCAAGAGCTAGGAAAGAAGACAGCTCTGCACAAGCAGGCAGAGGTGACTGAACTTGCTTTACAAACCAAGGGGCTAACATTTTGCTGGCTCCAGGGGA